TTTCTGCATCTCTGAATCCTCCTTTGCTTGAAAGCCACTATCTTGTCCATTGGCAGCTCACTTTTGCTACCATGCTGCCAGGCACTGGCCTGTCACATTCACCATAAATGCAAGGAATGGATACTTGAACATTTTAATTGAGTCCGTGAAAATCCATTCCTGCTCGATTCTCAGTCTTTGCTTGATGTCGCAGCCAGCATGTGATCCACCCAGACCAGCGTCTCATGTTCTGCATCTCCACATCTCTCCCTATTCAAAGCTCGGCATCTTGGGAAGTCATCCTCCCTGAGGCAGTTCTTTTCTGCTTCTAGCTAGGATGCCTTGGAGCAGCTTCTGCCAACTCTGGCCTGCTGGCTTCTAGTTGGTTTGCATTACTTGATCGAAGCCCACCAGCGCAATCTGCAGTGTGGTTTCTCCGGGAGAGGCAGGGCATGAGTTGCAAGGAGCATGCTCTGCAGCCGTGGTCCGCAGAGGTGCTGCTGGAAGCCGTGGCTGCCTGCCTGCCTCTGCAGCCATCCTGACAGGATCCGAGCAGAACCTGCTGTCGCAAACGCTGCAGCTGCACCCAGATTGCTGCTGCTCCCTCCTTCCCCTCTGAAAGGGGATTTCCGAGCCACTACCTGTGCAAGAAAGGGTGGGGGCGAGCATTTTCCACTGAGCTCTCTTCGAACTCCTTGCAGCCATCTTTGGTCTCTCTCTCTGTTGCTCATTATCTCTCAGCAGCATGTCTGCTAAATCGGTAGATTCCTTTTCACAAGAACATAATTGCTGTGGCAGGTCAGGTCAAGGCTGTACAGAGCCCAACGTTGCATTCCTGCAGCGGCCTGGCCGAGGCATTTGGAAAGCCTAGATGGAGGACAAGAGCAGTACCATCTGAGTAATGGGCGTACACAGACTTTCTGTACCACCTCTATACTAGAGGAAGCATGAGGACTGGCGGCCCTGGAGAGCCTCCGTTCTCCTCCACCAATTCATTGGATGCCCTTTTAAATCCTCCAAAATTGGTGGCCCTACTCCATCTTGTAGTAGGAAATTCCATAGTTACACTATGCGAAGGAGTATTTGATTTGATTTATCCCATGACACCAGCTCTGCTATTATAAGAGAAGGAGAAAAATGTCTTCCTAGCCACTTTCTCCATCCCTTAGAGAATTTTCTGCATCCTGGTCTCCCCTTCTCTTTTTTCCTGAGCTAAGCTGCCCAAACGTGGTAGCCATTGCTCACAGAGGCACTGCTGTGTCCTCATGGTTCTCACTTCAATATAAAAATCTCCGCTCTCTTTTTCCAGTTACCAAATTTTTTTGTGTGGTGGCAATGCAAAAATTGAATGTATTTGGTAGGCTGCATTTCCAAACTGGCCAATAACTGAACTTCCCTGAGCAGTTCATACAATTTGCATCATCAAATAAATTATAATAGTTGCAAATCACAGGAACTTGGATTTCTCCCTTAAAGAAAAGACAAGACAAATGGTACCAGTTCCTTGGGCTGGGATAGACCACTTCTGCGTCAGGGAACCAGTGCCCCCTGGATAGGCAAGCGTGGTCTCGAACGGACTGACAGCACAAAGGAACTTTCTCATGTTAGAACTGGCCTCACACCCAGTTGACAGAATTAACCCTGGGAGGGGAGGATTAGGTGAGAGGGTTTGACTTAACTCGATCAGAGGCTCTTAACACAATCCAGTGAGGTGCTGCCTCAGCCGCTGCCTGACACAAGCCGGTTTTGCCTCCTCTAAAGGATGAGTGTTCGTTGCGATCTGTGACAAAGGGGTGCCCCTTCCTGTGCTGGTTGCGCGGCCGTTCAGGGGGAGAGGGAGTGGAGAGAGACTGTGTGTGTCGTGGCTAATACCAGATGATCGCTGAATGTGCATGTTAACATGTACATTTGTGCATGGCGCACTGATGCGCCTGGACGAGTCAGCGTGGATCATCACTAACCGATCGGAAGTATTCAGGCGCGTTTCCCTGCCTCAATTGGGAAATGGCCGCAGCCTCCAAACTGATTTCACGCACTGATGCAGCGTGCGCGCTGGGTCCACGGTGCGCACAATTCCTGGTTGGCGTTGCCCATCTGCACTGGACTGATGTGGTGGGTGAGCAGAAGGGAGGGGCTGGGCTGGGATGCAGAAGAGCCCTGTTCTCGTCCCCTGCTCAGCTGTGAGGTGTCTTGGTGCCCGTCACGGCCTCTCAGTGGCAACTCCTTCAACAGGTGGCGGTTGTGAGATAACATGGAGAGGAGGCGGATTATGGAAGCTTCCCTGGGCTTCTTGCAAGAGGGAAACTGATTTTTCCCAAGCTGTAGGGGAGGCATTTAAGTCCTTTAGAAGTGCACAAAAACCGGGAAACCAGCGAAGACTTGGGGGATGGGGTGGGATGAAGGAAAGGGCTTGTGTCCTTTTGGTGGGCGAGATTTGGCCTTTATATTATTTATATTATTTAAAATGTCCTATATTCTGCCTAATTATTATAAAATCTCAAGGCAGTTTGCATAAAAAGACAGCAAATATAAATTAAAATCTTTCGGCCTCATTCTTTGCACTCAGCTCATGAGATTGTAAAGATTGTAATGAGAACAGATGTGAAGAACCCTGAATACTTAAGAGCACGGCGCAAATGTTCAACTTTTGTCTTATTATGCGATTTATTCGGGGACTGTGCGTGCTGGCACAGCAACATGAATACATCCTTCATGCCTCCATGTGGATATTTACCTACACTTTCCACTCAGCCCACACGGTCCCCCCACACACGAGTGTGCGTGTGCGTATTTGTGGGCGCTCATGTTTGCGGCTGGTCCTGGAGCCACTGCCCACTGGCAGGTCTGTATATTTGCCGATGGAGCAAGAGAGGACGTTGCCGAAGGCCCCGCTCCTCTGCCGTCCACCCCGGGTTCTTTGTCTCCGATGCTGGAAGTGGGGCTGGCGAACCTGTGGCTCGCGTTTTCCTGTAGCATTGCAAGTGATGCTGCGGACCGACTTGGGCTGGGTGTTGCGCTGTGCTGCGAGGCGCGCACGGGTTGTGCTGTGCTGGGCTTATGAGATCAGACATGGGTTCAAAGAGCCCCCCTCTCCCCCCCCCCGGCAATTGCAGCTTGTCTGCTCTGGGGTGGCCTTCAGGAGGCCAGTTGGAAACCCCTCCGACTCGCTTGCTGCTCGGAAGAGGCAGCTCTCAGAAGTGCTGGGGTTTTAAAGCAAAACGAAAGGAGATTAAAGCTACACATGTGGCTCATTTGCTCGACATTACACCTGCTAGTTTGAATATTCTTTGCTCCGGCTTTTGGATGTAAGCCAGATTCATTACACTGTAGAATTATCACAGGCTTCTCTTGGCATGGGCTTTTACTGCCTAATTATCTTAACATTGCTGTATATATTAAGATTTTTTTAAAAATAGTTTAATACAGCTTTGGTATTACGGCTAGAGCTTTGTCTTTAATATGTTCTAATCACAGGTGCGGTTTTACAAACCAGGAGTCCTATGGTGGCTTAAAAAAAAAAGCATGTATGGAATAATACCAGGGTTTTTTTCCCCTCCTCACTGGTAATTCCTTCCAATACCAAACAGTAAAATCTAAGTACTCATTTAGAAAGCACAGCTACATTATAGGTCTGTGGGGTTAGGGCTGTGCTGTGAACTTAGCCTGCTGTTTATCACCTCAGTCACCATGAGCCTGTACGATCCCGTTAACTATTAGTTTGAGCTCTAAGCAAGGTGGAAGGAAAAGGGACCTGCATTTCTGACTGGGAACAGAGCAGGGGGCTGTCAGCAAGGTGCTCCTTGAAAACATTGGAATTAATTTCTTATTTATGGGGTATGAGGTGGAAACAGAAGAGCTTTTCTGCAAAGCTTTCCTTAGAGTTTTTTTGGAGGGGGCTTTATCTCCTCTCCCCCCCCCCCACTCCTTGCAGTCCAGAAAGTGGCTTATGCAGGAGGCAATCATTGCGTTAGGACTGCGTCTTTCTCCAATTCAGTTTTGGGTTTGCCTTCAGTTTTGGGTAGCCCCTCTTTGGACCACTCCAGTGCGCTTCCTTTTTGTGCCAGAAGTTGCCCTGGACACACTCTGAATATTCCTTGGCAGTTCGGCCACTTGTGTCCTGCTGCCTCCCCCTCCCACCGGGTCCTGCTGCCTCCCCCTCCC